TTGCAGCTTGCTTCCCTGCATGCACCTTCTTGGCACACAATAGCTCCTTTTCTAAGGCAGTGCCCTTCAGTGTGAAATGCTCAAAACTTCGCCTGTTCCCAGATATCCCAGTTTCTTTCTCTTTAGTTCCCTTAAAGAGACTGAAGCCATAAAAAATAAAGGGAAAAATACTCCTTTTTTCCATTCTGTGTTTTATTTTTCAAATTGGGCCTAGAAATATCAGCTGCTGGTGTTCTTACAGCTCAAAAAATTCCAAATTATAACGACTGTTCTTTTTACACGAGGAATCGTAGCCCTCCAATTGGGCTGGTTTATGGAGCTATAGAGCACATGGCAAGGCTGTCCTTTCTCCGTTATACCCCGACCTTCTCTGCCTCAGGAGTCTGGACACTGATTTATTCCCTACAGGTCACCTTCCTTCTGTGCAAATCCACTCGTGAAAATAGGTGCGTGGAGACTTGTGGCCCATGTGCCAAGACTTTTCTCAAAGTCATATTGTTTCCCAGCTCCAGCTATCACGTTTTCTCTCAATTTCAAGGTACATTTAGCAGAGGTAAATAGGTACAACAATCATATTAAATTTATCTTAAAAGCATCTCTATTTGGTGGTTATCTCTGTCCTCCAAAAGTGGATTTATTTTACCTTCTTGTCTCATTGAAGAGGAAAGGAAGGATGAGATGTGAGGAAGGGACTTTTTTTTTTTTTGATGAATTTCCACGTTTGATTTCAATGCCTAGGGACACAGGTTTTTGCCAATCTCTCAGAAACTGAAGTGTCTGAACTTTCAAGTAACATGGCTTTAATAAAAAGAAGAAGATATAAAATACTTAAATGAAGAAAATGCTCATTGATGAGAACGTAATGTATTTCAGCCCACACATAGTAAAAGTTAATAGTAAATTCAGTACTCGGTATAGCACAGAAAAGAAGAGCCAAATGTGGGATGCAGGCAAATTATCTCAGATTCTGAGATTTTTTTATAAATAAAAGACTTTTTAAAAATTAAAAGCTGCTTCTTTCAAAAGTATTGAGCACGAGTAATTTGCTAACAACCTTAATAACTTGCTATAAATATGACAGTTTTGTTGAAATTGTGAGGTTTAAATAAAAAAATGGACTTGATGGTTAAGATTCGTATCCAAAATCCAGTCTAAATTAATCTTATATTTCTTCCCACTGCCTCCTCCTACCCTCAGTTTTAACAACTTAAGCTTATGTGTTTGCATATATATGTACAGATGATGTGGACTATTTAAAAATTGGTATAAGATTCCAGATTGGTCATACAGAGGGCCTCCTACAATGTATTAATTACTCTGAGTTCTCTTAGATCCATACAATTCTTTGAAGACAGTCTAGTAATGTTCACTTGGTGCAAATCTCAGATAATACTGTAATAGGAAGACAGTTCTAGGAGAAATATACCAGAGCAAGAGTTGTAGATAATGGAAAGGTTTTCCACAATACACAGCCTCCATTCCTTTTAGAAAAAGAAAGGACAGACTCTGTAGAAACGTTTTTTAATCAATTACTCAGCGTTGTTTTGCTGACAATAATTCCTTTTGAGTAAAAATTGTGAATCTTTAGAAATAAAATCAGTTTCCAGCAGCAGTTGAATTGCCCTGCTGTCTGTGAAGGGAACATAACTAGTAAAGAAAATTGGAATGGTTCTCTGCTCAGAATTTTCTCATTTTTCATAGGCATCATTCTGCAGAGCGTGGTGGTAAATCTCACTCACAAAACGTGAAGATTTTGCCCACAGTGGTAGAAAGAAGTGAGCCTGCCCATCATCCTCTTTACTATAATCTCACTTCCCAGCTCCTGCTCACTGATGCTCTCCAAGGATGCTATGTAGGCCCACATGAGCCCCGGCAGCATAATCTATTGAACTGTGAACACTTTAAAGGTTCAGATTGTGTTTTGTGTACCTTAGCACAGTGCCTTGCACCTAATAAATTACATGAGAACTCAAAATTCATTGTTTCAACATTTAAAAGATATTTAACTGCATTTTGACATGAGAATGGACACTTTTATATAATAGAAAGACATTACGTTGAGGCATGACCCCATGAACACAGAACCCCTGGAAAATACTAGGAGACTTACTGGTTCTAAGAATTTAAGAAAAGCCCTGTCCATTTATTAGCTAATCTCTAAGCTAACTGCACAGATAATCCTATGATAGTATATGATAAAGAATGTAGACTTCACCTAATTAGTTGAGAAAAATTAATTTAAAAAAAACCAGACAGCATCGACAATCACAAACCTTAGGGGGGAAAGGATAATATGATTTACAGAGTTGCCACTTTTATTATATTATTTAAAATGTCCAGTTTTCAATAAAAAAATTATGAGACATCCAAAACTCCAATAAGAATGGTCCATACACAGGAAAAAAAGCAATCCATAGAAAGTTTCCTTTATTTCTAACAGAGGAAAGCAAAGCCTTTGGAATAACTAGACAAAGACTTTAAGCCAGCTATTTTTAAATACATTCAAAGAACAAAAGGAAACCATGTCCAAAGAACTAAAAAGAAAGTATGACAATAATATCTCACCAAATACAAAATACTAACAAAGAGATAGAAATTATTTAAAAATAAACAAAAACGAAAGAGTACTTCTGTAGTTGAAAAGTAGAATAACTAAAATGAAAAACTCACTGGAAGGCTTGTCTTATTTTTCTATGACTGCTGTAACAAATGACCACAATGAGGTGGCTTAAAACAGCAACAACTTATTCCCTCACAGTTCTGGAATCCAGCAGTCTGAGACTGTCATCTCTGTAAAGTTTATTGTAATGTTATAATGAAAATCATCATCATCATCAGCGTGGGAGTGGGCCCATGCTTGCAGCAGAGGTTCTAAGGAAGAATCTGTTTCTTCTACTTTCACCTTCTGTTGGCTGCTGGCATTCTTGGCTGTGACCACATCACTCTGATCTCTGCCTCTATGGGCGCGTTGCCTTCCCTCTTCTGTTTGTAATCAAATATTCCTCTGCTTCTCTCTTATAAAGACACATGACATTGAATGTGTGGCTCTGGATAATCTACAATAACCTTCTCCATCCAGTGCAAAATGTGAGCGATTTCCAGTTCAGCATGTACAAGTTATCTATTATTTTAATAGGTGAGGGGAAGAGTATTATTCGTTTAGATCCAGCTAGTTGGTTTATTTGTTGGTAGGAGAATATGGGTTTTCCCTCCTGATAACTGAAAGGAAGCCTTTTGCAAAGGAGATAAAGCGAATGGTTTAGAAGCAGCAGTATGTAGCTATGAGAGCCTGACAATGCCTTTCTGCCCTCTGTCCTTGCGCCATGGAAAACGAGCAAATGCTGATTAAGAGGACAGGTGAAAGTTACTTAAAACTGGGTGGGAGAGGAAAGTTCTAGAGTTAACAAGAAGACAGTGGACTTTTCTTTATTTCTTTTGATGATGATGATGATGATGATGATTTTCATTATAACATTACAATAAACTTTACAGAGATGACAATGGCAGAAAGATCAACTGACCAGTAATAATCAGAGATAAAAGTGTCACAAAATAATATGGAACCAACAGAATAGAGACAGGAGAACCTTCTATTTAGAGAGACAGCAGGAAAGACAGTGTGAGAGTCATTGGGTGGGTAAGTGACTTAGAATGTCCAGAACTAGACAGAACCTCTAGAACGGGGCAGCAGTTACTAAGTGCTATTAGTCGTAATACTGCGCTTTCAAAAATATCACTTTCACATTATCATTGATAATGAATTTTAAAATTATGCCTATGCACCACTGATGATATGTGGCTGGTAGACAATTTAATGGTGATAGCTCTCAGTCCCATTGTCACTATTTATTAGAAATTCTGACCTGAAACCTAAATAATTTTATGAACAAATGTCACCCCAATACATTCAATAAAAAAGAAAAAAACCAAATATTATACATTCTTAACAGATCTAAAAAACATTTTGACAGGAGTAATGTAATAGCTTGCTCCTGCTGAGTCAGGTGGTAACCACAAAGGGTCAGGCTTTGGCAATGCTTGGAGTTGAGGGACAGAGCTGGGAGGGTACGCTGATTGACAATCTGCAGGAAGGAACATCAGTTTGAAGATATCAGTTTCAAACACATGTGTGCTCAGAAAGTCTGCTTCACTTCCCTAAGCAAAGCTCTGTGGATGAAAAGAGTCATTTCCTATTAGCAAGCAGGCCCAGGTCTTTTGCAGACCAACCTAGATAAATGGGGCGCTGGGTTGGGGAGCAGTTACACTCACAGGCTTCTAGGATCAGCAGCTGCATAGAAAGGAAAATGTTTGGAATATAAAATACAGTAACCCTTTACCTTCCCTGGACACAGGTTCTTATTGTATAATACCAGGTGCATCTACCACACTTACAGTGATTTTTCAATCTTGATGAACAAAAGTTAGGTCTGAACAAAATGTGCTGGACATGAAAGATACCAAGTGAGAGCAGGATGAATTTAACTGGGTATGTTACTAAGAGAGGAGGCGCTCTAACTGAAGAAAAGAATATGATTATTTAACCTATGACGACGGGTTTATTATTGTTTAAAAAATTCACAGAACCTAAAGGTGATGTTTTCCCCTCAATAAAAGCAATAAGAATTGCACTTCACAGCTGAATTTTCATATTTTCTTAAGCGTGAATCATGAAGGACACTTCTTGCTAAAAACTGCAATCAGAAATCAAGTTCGGGTACATGCAGACTTTGAAAGCTTAATAACTTGTCTTTGTTTCCAGACTTAACAGAAAGTAATATAACTTCTGACCCTTGGGCTAAACACTTATGAAACATTATAAATACTGACTCTAAATCTATGAATGCCAATCTGTCGTTATGATCACATTCACTGTATAGCATGTGGAACTTTTTTTTTCCAGAGGTACTTTAGCTTAGCATATTAATTTTATATTTGTAGGTAACACTTGTTAGGAAGACTTTTTTTGATAAAGTCTATGTTTTTTCCCCTTTCATCTGTAGTTTGGTTGCAACAAAGGAAACAGACAGTGCAAGATCTCGAAGTGCTCCAATGTCACCCTCGGACTTTCTGGACAAATTAATGGGGAGGACATCGGGATATGACGCAAGGATCAGACCCAATTTTAAAGGTAATTTGTTCTGCTGACTACTATGTGTGAAGTGTATTTTAAATATGATTAAACAAGATACATTTTTAAAATAGATTCCACTAAAAATCCTAATGCTTATTTCAGAATATAAGCATTATAAGCATATATGTGTGTGTGTGTATATATATATATACACATATATACCTATGCTTATAATGCTTATATTCTAAAATATAAGCATGTGCAAAATGCTTATTTCAGAATATAAAAATATAAACATGTATGTGTATATATACACATATATATATATTTTCTTACGTGTATATATATATATAATTTCTTACTACATACAATGGAACATTCTCACTAACTGGAATGAAAGCTTCTTTAGAGCTGACAGTAAACCTCCCTATATTTTATATCCTCCACAGCAGGATTTTGTATATTATGGAGACTCAAATTATTGTTGAATTTATGTCCTGGAAAAGAGCCTGGATACCTAAAATCCACTGATAACATCTAATAAATTATTCCACTTACCAAGTGTGTTATCTAAATTTATAGGAATGAGTGTAATTATCAACCTAAGTACTCTTTATTATTTTCCTGTTTTGTATAGTGATAACATATTTATACAAGTTACATGTGGATAATCCAGAATGATAATATGTCCTGCAATGTAATCTATGGTAAAAGATTAGAAAGCTACTTTCATGCCTCTACTTATTTAATATCTCTTGAATAATATTTTATCTAATTAAAATACTTAAGTGATAAGAATACACACATATTCCATAAGATTCCATTAAGTTATTTTCACCCCTAGAAGTGAAAGAAAAAAAAATGTGCTCTACAATAATTCTTTTTTTTCTGAATTTATTCTCATGGGATAAAAATATAATTGCTTAACAATGGTATAAGAAGTAATTTGAGAGGACTAATAATACACACTAAGAATGAGTACCAGGAAAAAAAATAGGAGTAAAATTTGTTGATAAATTATGAGTAGGAAATTATAAATTGCTTCAATGTAAATATGAGTTTAACATTTAAAATGTGGGTTGGATTTATTCATTTGTTTTTAAGGATTTTGACCATTAATATTTTGAACTGCAAAGGAGAGAAACACTAAATGCAAACTGTGAGGAAACAGTACAGTTTTAATGGGTGTCATATTCAAATAAAAATGAGAAGTTCAGCATTATGAGGATCTTTTACAATTGAGAGAAAGCAGTTTCCTCATACAGGCATTCGTCTTTAATAAAATTATTGCTTATGCTGTCATTGTGTCATTTTACAAAATAATTCTTTCTCTTTAAAAAAATATCTGATTTCTTCTATTATCTGTGTCTAACACACTCCCTCTCATACTCTTTGCTCTTGCTTGTTCCCTCCAGATCTAAGGAGAATTGTTCAGAAATGTTTTCTAATTTATTCTCAGACATTATATAGTGTCATCTGTTTACTTTCAGAATGTTTAGGAGCACTTTAATTCTGTAATTGCCTTATGGTCTCTTCAAGACCCTTTATCCTAAACCATTCTTCTCCAAGGTGAAGCCATGGAAGTGGTATCACAGGTTGCTAGGCAAATGTTATTTTGTATGTGTAACTATTTATTTTATTTATGGCAATAGTAAAAACCATACACCCGACCTTGGCAAACATTAAATTGTCTAAAAATATTAGTGATGAAAAGCAGCAGCTCCCTGCCTTGACAATCCTTATGCACAGTCTCACTTCTTGAGGCAAATACTCCAGAAGTAAAATTGGTTCCTTTTGGTGAAATCTGTTTGATCTCTTTCTAGACCTTTTACAAACAAGGCATTATGAGATTCCTTTGCACTAAATAAACTGCTAATTGAATGTCTCCATTCTTACCTTCCACCTCTTCTGTTTTCCCTTTCTGTACAACAATTTCTCTTTTCTTCCTGCAGGAACAATTTTATTTATTTATCTCCACTCTCTTTAAGCCTCTACTTTTCTTATATGTGAAAAAAAGTTCTATAGCTCAGGAAGGATCAAGTTGATTTGCCTGGGTGCTGAGACAAGTTGAGTCTGCACTGTGTGTGTGTGTGGTGTGTGTGGTGTGTGTGTGTGTGTGTGTGTGTGTGTGTGTGTGTGTGTGTGTGTGTGTGTGTGTGTGTGTGTGTGTGTGTGTGTGGTGTGTGTGTGTGTGTGGTGTGTGTGTGTGGTGTGTGTGTGTGTGGTATGTGTGTGTGTGGTGTGTGTGTGTGTGTGGTATGTGTGTGTGTGTGTGTGTGTGTGTGTGTGTGTGTGTGTGTGTAGGGAGGTGGTTTTCTGCTATTTCTCTCTCTGGAAAGGAAAACCTGGCAGAGACAGCATGGTGCTCGCCAGAGCACTGCTTTCAGTGAGCACCGAGTGTTGACTAGGCTTTGGCCTGGGGTTCACCAGATGTCAAAACAGAGAAGGCTTAGTTTTGAAGTACTGTGAGGGGCCCTTTTTTCCCAATGAAAAAAGTTATTTCCCCTGTTTTTTTTTAACTTCTTATAAACTGAAGATGAATGAGTTCTGAGGATCTAATGCACAGCACTGTGACTATAGTTAACAATACTGTATTATATACTTGAAGATTGCTAAAAGTGTAGATTAAATGTTTTCACTAAAAAAGGAATAAAATAGTAATTATGTGCTGTAATGCTATGGCGATAATTATATTGTGATATGTAAGTGTATCAAATCAACACATTGTGCCCTTAAACTTGTACAATGTTGTATGTCAATTATATCTCAATAAAGCTAGAAATAGGAAATGATTAAAAAGTCAGCACTAATTAACAGAACCATAGTATTTCCAATCACCTTGATAAACTATTTTATTTAACAGTTTTATTTATTTATTTACTTATTTAATAGTTTTATTAAACTATTTATTTTGGTTGCAAAACTAAAGACAAAAAGTTATTTCCATTCCTTCAAAGATTCTGTAGGGCTAAGCTCCAGGCTATCCTGCTTTGCGGGAATATGGATGGGAATCAGGGACCTTTTTGAGCCAGGTGCTTGTGGTTTTTCCCTAGGCCCTTCCAGCTCCCCACTTCCTATAGGTGAGCCTAAGCTTTGTGTCTCCCTGGGTCATTCTTTTCTTTTATTAGTAAGTTTATTGGGGTGACATTGGTTAATAAAATTACATAGGTTTCAAATGTACAAATTCTATGATACATCATCCCTGTATTGCATTATGTGCTGCCCACCCAGAATCAAATCGTCTTCTGTCGCTGTACATTCGACCCTCTTCACCCTTCACTACTGCCCACACCCCTTCCCTCCGGTAACCACCATACTATTGTCGGTGTTTTTGTTTGTTTCTTTGTTTGCCTTGTTTGTTCATTTGTTGTTTTCAGTTTTATATCCCCCATATGAGTGAACTCATGTGTTTCTTGACTTTTTCTGCCTGACTCATTATCTGCCTATATCTACCCCAAAAATTAGAAAACATTTATTTGCAAGGATATATGCACTCTTATGCTCATTGCAGCCTTATTTACAATAGCCAAAATATGGAAGCAACCTAAGTGCCCATCAATAAACAATTAGATAAAGAAGATGTGATACATATACACAATGGGATACTACGCAGCCATAAGAAAAGGTGAAATATGGCCATCTGTGACAACATAGATGGATCTTGAGACTATCATGCTAAACAAAACAAGACAAAAAAGTCAAGAGCCTTGGGTCATTATTAGCAATTAGGTCCCTTCTCTGTGTAGTCCTCATCTACGTTTATTTTTGGCTTTGTTCTGTTTTCTTCTTTATTTTATATTTTGTCATTAAACTGATCATGAATTTCCTCCCCTTCCCCTTTGGTGTGAGATGTTTAGTCTCATTTTTATTTGGTAATATAATTTTTATGTCTTCAGAGTGAAAGAAAACTATTCAATCCCCCTCTTTAAATAGAAGCTTCCAGGAGTCATTTGGAATTATAAACCTATAGTGTACCCATACATGATAAAATATTATTTCACGAGACCACTTTACCAGCTTTTTCTGGATTTCACTTGTGTTCTTTGACCCTATTATTTGGGCCTTCAGTTGGTCTTTGATGACCCTCGAGTCTAATTTGGATCCAGGCAGAAAGTACTTCTTAGCAATCACCCGATTTTGTTTTCCTTCAAACACTGATTGCATTTTTTAAAAAATCTATTTTTAATGGTCACACTCGTTTTCTAGAAATAACATTGTTTGCTTTCCCAATGTCTTTGTGGTTTCTGTCTTTTCTCTATATTAACCCCTTTTTCCCACATCACAAATTTAGTTTTAAAATAGCTATTTCTGCTGCAACACATTCTATCCCCAGAATACCATGTGTACCTAATACTCATTTCCTGCCTGTATTTTTTTCAGGAAAATGTTAGCATTTCCTTTATAATTTTAACTATTCCTATGCATCCATCTAGACACTGCTGTTCTTGAATAAAATTCATGATTTTTTTAAAAAGTCTATTTCTTATTTGCATTTTTACATAATATAAGATTATTTTACTAAGAAGAATCTCTTCACTAATAAGCCTTTCTAAAATTGTAGATGTTCACCTGAAATATTCATAGATTTAGATTCTGCTTTCTATATTTTTAGGTTTTGTTTGATTTTTATTTTTAATGTATTCTTCTGTAATAGCTATTTCTTTTTCATTTCAAAACAATCTCAAACTAACAGGTATGCAAGTATAGCACTTAGCTATTTTTTCCCAAACTCCTTGAAAGTAAATTTTTGACCTGATGCCCCAGTACTTGAGTGTATGATACAAATAACAACATTCTCTTAAATAACCACCATCTAACCATTGAAACAAGTAAGTTGTTGTAACATGGATATATTGCTACCATGTAGCTTGTGCACCCCCATTCGAATTTTATTAATTTTCTAAATAATGGATTCATAATAAAATGATCCAGTTTAGAATCACATCTTGTATTTTGTCATTTGTCATTGCCTCCTTCAGTATGAACCAGAGGGTCATTCTTTATTTGACTGTTATAATCTAGGCATTTAAAAAATGTTATTATCTCTTTATTTAACAGAATATACCTCAATTTGTATTAGTCTAATGTTTCCTCATGATTCAGTTTAGGTAATACATCTTGAAAGATATATCACAGAAGTGATACCATGTTCTGATTGTGTCTTATCAAATGGTGGACCCTCTTGATTTTTTTTTACCATAACTGGTGATGTTTACTCTGATTAATTGATTACGTTGGTGCTTTCCAAGACATATCTTTATACATATACATCTATGCATAAATACACACATAGAGATACAAACACTCATATATGTATATTCACACATATATATACTTAAATCAATGTATTTACTTCTCTATCTATTGAAAACCATGAGTTCACATTGCTATTTCCAATTCTATAAGCTTATTCTAATTTCTGAGTTTCCATATTTTAACTTCCTCAGTTGACAGGAAGAAACCTGGCTCCTGTCACCTTTAATATAATTCTGTATTTGATCAATGAATCTCCCTTGTCTGCAGCCACGACCTCTCTCACTCAGATGCCCTTGCTCCTGTTCAGTCTCTGACTCCCCAGGCCAGGATGCCCTTCTCCAGTTCTAATAACCCACGCCCGGCTGCCCCATACGGCAACTTTCTTCTCACTTACTCGGGCTCCAGCGTCCTGGGCCACGCACGCCTTCTCCCCTGACGCCCGTCTCATCCCGCTGCAGGGTATCGCCCTTCCCCGGCCACCCTCGGCATGGAAGCCTATCTTACACTACTCCGCTGAATGGCTTTCAGACCGCGAAGGGAGAGCAAGGGGAAGAATGAACTGAATCCTATTTTTATGCCATAATTTTAAAACCTTTTCTGAGTATCTACCAAGTAATTTAGAATCTGGATTTAAAGTCATTAAATATGCTTTTGGTAATTAAAAAAATCTCTCTCCTTGTGACATGACTACATCAAATATATATTTATCCAAAATAAAAACAACTCACTAAACATTTTTGAGGACTGACATTTCAATTGCATTCTCTGTCTTTAAAAAGTGTGAGGCTTTAATTAATACAACAGTATGTTAAAAATTACTTGGAGTCATTTTCATAAACACTTGGGTTATTGTTTGTCTCCTTGTTTGCTCTAGATCTGCCTGGTGAACAATTTTCCCCAATATGAATAGCAATAATGTAATTGCTAAGGCTTTGCCATTTTGCCTTTATCCATCTCTGAACTTAAGAGTCATGTTCTATTTCTTTAAGAAACATCTAAAAGAAAACATGCTGCTAAAACATCTGCAACTACTGTCATTTGCTTTTAAGGCCAACGATGGCTAATGTAATGAACAATTTAAAAGCATAATTTGCCATATGGATGTTATAGCAGTTATTTGCTCTGTTGCTAAACATAGCAGTGAATTAGATGGAGATAACAGCTTTTGCACTGGCACGGAAAAGTGGCAGATTGGCCAAGGACTGCTGAAACAGGTGCTCTCTGCAATGGCAATAGAAGATTTACAGTCTTCTCAGGGCTTCATTTTCTACAAAATTTTTGAATATACATATCAATAGCTAAGGTACAAAGAGTACTCCAAGATTGCTGCCCTGATGGGAAACATGATAGTATTATATCCATTTCCTTCTGTGTAATGTCTCTCCACTGTTTCTGTTCTTGGTCACAGCCATTCTATTTCCCATTTGTGCTACTGCAATGAATTCCTAACTGTTTTCTCCGTTTCTAAGCTTTCGCTATCCATTCAACCATTCACCGTGTCGGTTCGCCACACTCCCATGATCAAGGATCTGTAATGGCTCCCTCATGTTTATTAGGTAAATTCCCAATATTTTGGTATCACATTGAAAAGATTCCATGGTCTGGGCCAAGACTATTTTTAAAACAATGGCTTTGATTTCCAAATTGCTTCATACTCTAATAAGATTTTCAAATTCTTTAAAAATAAATTAATATCTACACATGTGAAATATCTATATATCAATATTGATATCAATTTAAAATTTGGAATTCAGGTTTGGTGCCAGAATCCATTGACCTTTCTTTCTGCTGGAGAAGAGAAAAAACATATTTATATATCTCGCACTTATGCATGTTCCAATAACTAGGCAAGGAACATATCTGATAACTGACAGATTAAACAATAGAGCTCAGACATGAGACCACTATTGTCTACTTTACTACCACATGAAATTTAGATTTGGAAACCAAGCTGACCTCCTGCTTTTAAGAAGAGCATTTTGCATCTGACTGGAGGCCTGTTGGAGGGGCAGGGACTGGAATCTCTTATATTGTGAAACATCAAGTTCCCCAATACTAGTGAAAGCCTCAGTCAGTTACTTCTTTGACCATTGCTCTGCTGTGGAAGCAGGTTATTTTCCTTATTTTATTCATTGGCCTTACTATTCAAGCCTCTGGTCAGCTTGAGATGCCAGGGCCACATTTTAGGGAGACTGTCCGAGGAGCCCTCCCCTTAACACAGAGCACAATGCTGCTCCTTCCGCTCTCGGTGGTAGATGGTCATGTGGTTTTCTATGTCCGGACAGCACAGTAGGTGGTAAGAAAAAGCAGGTAATAATTTACTGGTTCCTATTAATTTCTGCTGTGCTAGATGATAATTTCTTTGTGTCTTCTTCAATTTGGTGAGCATAGACTTTAGGTATTTAGTATATGACTGAATGAATGGGTCTGATGAAATAAAAATTCTTGGTTTTATGATGAATGTTAAACCAGGCACTTATGTGCACTTCTAGAATGGCGCAGTAAGGATCTCTGTAAATCCCCTTCTCTAAAAAAAGCAGCGAAGACACTGGCAAAATTGTCATAATTAACTTTTAGGACTCTGAAAATTAACGGAAAGCTTGCAACATTATAACAATGTTTCTGAAAGAAAAACTGATGAATTTGTCCTAAGGACAAAGGATATTGGAATATGGCCCCAGGTCCACAGTAACCTTGGCAACCTGCCACCTCTCAACCAGAGAAGCTATAAAATCCTGCTGCAGCTTAGCTCCTTCTAGCGGGAGGACCAGGTTGGGAGCTCCTCAGGAAGTCCGTGCCCGGAGCTGCGTTGCTGTTTGACCTGTCCTGCTGTTCCCTAAAAGATTCCCACTACGAGAGGGCGTGTCATTATTTTACTGTGACTGGGGTCTCCCTCAGTGGGAAGTTTCTATCACCAAGGCATCTGTGGACAGTGGTCACAGAAAATCACCAGTTGGGAAAATAAGAGCCTGAACAAAATTTTTAGAAGATCCGGGGAATGAGATGCCTGTAGGCAGCTTTGAAAACTTATGATGTATTCTTGTGGATCCAGAGGTTACATGCGTGGGGCTCTACGCGTTTCCAGGAAAGTCCTCTGATGACCCCAATCTCTCACCCCTGGCTGACCGCAGATCTGGTGCAAGCAGGGAGTGAAGGATAAGGCATGAACATCAAAGACATGCCCCCAAATAAACAAGTCGTGAAGGAGATCTCTGACGAATCATTTGTTGACCAGTAAACTCACGAGCAGAGGCTTCAGTGGCTGCACACTCTAGGGAAATGCAGACTTTACAGTATTAGTCCAGGTAAGTCATTAAACAGGAAATAACAATAAGAAACACCAGCAATGGCAAAAAACTGTGGGTTGGAAGCTGGAGGTGTGGTTTCCAGAGTTGACACATATTTTCTAAAGTATCCAATATTCAAAAAAAAAAAAGTATGTGACGTGGAAAGAAACAGGAAAATACAGCCCATACATGGGATGGGAAACATCAAACGTTGGACTTAATACTTCTACTTACTAAATTTACAGAGCCATCAGAGATATCTACATCACGGAAACAGGCCACAAGAGGTTAATGATTGGTTAGCATCAGTGTTCAAAGAGACCACGAACTTGTGATTTGCAATCCAGCTGATTTCATAGAATGATTATCTTCCATTTTAAGCGAATGTGTGTATACATGTGTTAAAAAATATTCTTCTTAAAACAACTATTAATGAGAAGCATGAAATTATTTAAAAATATTTTAGATAAGTATCTAAATAGCCCTTATGTTGTAATCTCTTTTTCAGGCCCTCCAGTTAATGTCACATGCAACATATTCATAAACAGCTTTGGCTCTATTGCTGAGACAACCATGGTAGGCATGTTAACGTTGTAACAACTTTTCTTTTTTTTGAAAGATTTTATTTATCTGTTTTCAGAGAGAGGGGATGGGAAGGAGACAGAGGGAGAGAAACATCAATGTGCGGTTGCTTCTCATGCGCCCCCTACTGGGGACCTGGCTTGTAACCCAGGCATGTGCCCTGATTGGTGATCTAACTGACGACCCTTAGGTTTGCAGGTCGGCAGTAAATCCACTGAGCCACACCAGCCAGGGCAGTAACAACTTTATACTAAAGTAATTGCTAGTCAGATTAATGGCAATTTTCTGCCAATGTTATTTAATTTAAAGTCAAAATTAATATAATGAAATTTTAAAAGATGAAATTAATGGTATAATTAAATTGTAATCAACTGCAGGTAATAATGTTTCATTAAGAGGTCGTACATTAATAGAAAATATGTAAGTAAAAACAAGATTGATTTTTCACGTTTCAGTAATTAAATGCTAAATCTCAAATTAAAAACAAAAGTCTATCATATAAATTATTTATTCCTTTTCAATGTTTTTGAAATAAACAGACATAAGCATAGGAGTAAACAATTTCATGTTTAATTATTTTGTATACTTATAAATGTGTTCATAATATTGTTTAAATATTCTATTTGATTACTTTTCCAAGTGAATATAGTATTTGCAAATTGTAGAGTATGCCTTAATTTAACTAAACTTGCTGAACAGAGACTTCATTACTGTGTAATTGAGAACATTTTACGTAATTATTACAGCCCAAAATTAACATTACAGACCACATTTGTTCTGTTTTGAATTTTATAACTTTCTCTAAAGATAATATTGTATCTCTTCTTTGCTCTGTGGCTAATATTCATTGTGTACTTTTGCTAAAATAAAATGCAGGCACAATCACATGAACCACTGAATATCTGTCTAGCAGGCAACTTTTTAAAATTGAAACTATTTATGGTGGCTCTTAAATTACTTAGAATTATACTTCATTCCTAAATTTAACAAGTATAATTTGCATTAATTTTCAAAGTTGATTTTAGCTAAAATAGGCTATGAAATACTTCAAGATTTCTTAGCTTCCAAAACCATTAAGTAGCTACTTTTCCTCATTTTATATACCTCAGAATGATTTGATAGCAAATTTTGAAGAAAAAGTAATCTAATATGCAAATTATTCTGTGGATGTGTGTGTAGAGTTTAGTGTGTGTATAGAGGATATATGTCAACAGGAAGAGACTTTATTTAGGCACATTAAAAAATGATCTTTTCATTATGTGCACATTATGTAGTAATTTAGCAGCATCTCTGTGGTTCTTTTCAAATAATAAAAGCAACAGTGGAAGAAACTGACCTCACATACTTGGGCATTATATAGAATTATCTTAACTATAGTATATAACTTAAAATAAATGTGTGTGTTTGTGCAAACACAAAGATAATGCATATAATTTGTCTGTATAAGCACAATGTAGTTCTGGGGCGATTCTGACCATAAAGTGATTACAATTCTGTTTCAGACTTTGATGTATTCTGGCTTCTGGTTGAATATCTGGCCAATTTGTATCCTGCATTTGTACATACCCACTAGAAATCAAATTAAAGATAAAGGAATCTTTGCTGGCTTTTTTTTTTTCTATTTAGACCTCCCAAATTGTGTTCCCAGCCCTAGCAACTTTCTCATTTTCATTGCTACTATATTTACTGTACAATCTTGAAAACCTGGAAATATGTTTATGTTTTCTCTTTTGCAAAACCATTTCCACAAAATACTGTCAACAGCAATAGGCAGAAAGGTTTACAGTCTTACTTATGCTTGTGGGGTGGAGGAAGGGATTTGGAAACAAGGGAAGATACAGCCAGATTTCTTTATTAAAATCTGAAAGATTGTCAGGTTCCCGAAAGCCTTTGCTTTTTATGACATTCATCAGCCTGCCACTAAATGGCTACAACGGCCATAGGACTGTAACACACAGTTTATGGGATGATTTCACCAGCTGAATTTCTTACCTTTAATCATTTTAGACAGACTTTCTTTATAGAATAATGTTATACAAAGAGCAGAATATTGCAAATACACTCTCCCTGTGATCCTCACTCAGTTTTATTTCTTCCCTTCTCTAGTGTAGAAATTCTTTCCATTCTTACGTATTCCATCATAATGAATTTCCTTTTAAATCACTTTTCGAATCTATTACTCTCCTTTTCAGAGTCACAAGCAGCCTCAATGAACATTAATCAATCACTTCAGAGGTTATTATAAAATAAACTATTATGAAATTAACTATGTCCACCTCCGTATCTTTCTTTTTAGTCTTCCAAACTGCTAAACATGTGACATAATTTTGATTTTCATAATCAGATTCAATATTTGTAAAAATTTTTAATGGTACCAGATAGATTAGCTACATTATGGCATCCCTCTATATAACAATAGAGAAAATCAGAACTTGTTATTATACTTCTATCTCTAGGATCATAAAATATTTTGCTACCACCTGATTAAGTTAATGTAATTTAATTATAGTCTCCACCATCATAGTTCTGCAAACTAAACTTTGTGTCATTGTTTTATTTGCCATAATATTGTTTAATTTCTATGAAACCATTAATATATTTTAAAACATTCACATATCTTATATAAATATAGTTTACTTTTGTTTGTATAATACCAGTAAGCTAATTTGCTGAAGATAATATAGTAAGATTAAAAGCATGAAATTTCAAATTAGCTATAATCATTAACAAATACTTTTATATCTGAGAACTTATATCTCAAATAAAACTAAATAATTCTTTTAATTCATATATATTTGCCTAACAAATTTCCTAAGTGCCTTCAATGTTTTTACTGACCAAATATATTAAGTTCCCTTGCTGGTCTAGTCTCTAACCTATTAAATCTCTCCGCATTTTAAAACTGAGTGTCAGTGACATTTGAGGGAATTATTTGATTCTTGAGAAAGTTTCTCTAGTAGATATTTTTTATTTAGCCATTTTTTGAAAATTAAGTAATTCAACTTTTAACATATTTTGTATCTTCTTGCCTTAAAAGTTAAAAGTATTTATGTGTATTTTTAATAGTATAAACTCAAATTTCTTAACTGTTAAACTCATCCTTTCCCAATGTTCTCTAACTTAATGTAGTGCTAACCATTCTCACTAGAGTACAGTTTTATTATTCTTGACATATAGTCATCAATTTTTCTCTATACATATTATGAAAATTCTAGACATCCCAATTTTCCTCACATTTGAGTTGTGTGTCATTGTATATAACGAGATTCTCAGGACTGGTTCAGCCTCTGTTATTCCAAGTTTACATTCTTCTTAAGCAGATAATGATGTAACAACTATTGGAAACCATAATTTTTTTAAAAAAATTAGATAAAACTTGCTTGCCATCATTAGAGTCACTCTCTTTCCCATTCTGCAACATGGCCTTTGTGACAGGCGCATCCTCCATCCTGCCTTTTGAACTTGTGGTGAGCAAAGGCGGTCATGACTCTGTTGCTTCTATGAGGGAAGCTAAAGATCTCCCTATCCAGGGACTCAAGTGTAGCAGACTCCTGCAAACCTGTGATGAGTTGTGGATGAGGCTTATTTGCCAGGATGAAAGCAGCTTCTGTAAGGCAGACTTTTTATATGCACGTAGTAGTTTGTTTGTTTATACATAGCAGTATTTAAAAGTGGATAAATTGGCTGAATCCCCTATCTTCAGAAAACAGATGGCTCTCCATCTTGTTACAAATACGAGACAGAGAATTGCTCTGCATCTTATGTGAATGTTTACTCATCAACCATTACTTTGCACCAGTTCCCCTAGAATAAAGTATTTCCCCAAAATAAAAAAAAAGGGGAGATGTTTTGGTGTAAGAGTTTTACAGGTGCCTGTGTACAGAAATGTATGATGGGCTTGAGTGAGAGTCTCTCAGGGTCTGCTTTGAGCTCACAGAATTGTCAAACTGTACAGCTTTTAAATTTTTCACACAAATAATTATAGATGCACACTATGATGATGATAAGCTTTTTTAAAAATGCTACTTTAGTTGGATGTGTTAGGATGGCATTTAACTAGTTGTACTGATTTTAATCCAATCTCCCTTTCTCTATAATTTTAATCCAATCTCCCTTTCAATTCTATCTTTAATTATTTTGTTTAAATTCATGGGCATTTACTTAAATTTTTTTGATTATGGGCTTCTTAGAGCAATGATCCACTCTGATATAGTCATCACTAAACATTAGCAACTAGGATAATTTTTAGCAGAAAGTTGCTCTTAAGTATATATTGTGGGATACACACCCACACGCACACATATGTACATATTCTGGTTAACAAAGATCATTTTTCCCAAGAAGAGAACTTTGCTATTGTGTCCTTGACATAAGGGGATTAACTTTTTTTCTTCTTTGCCATATGACCTGAGTCCTGGTTCTCTCTTAAATTGCTGTTTCAGTCTCTAAAATATGAATGAAATATTTAATTGTACGATCTTATTAATGTTGGCTAATATTGCCCAAATAAACTTGGCTTTTCAAATCAAATATTCACATGCAATTTTATAATCTTTTTTCAGCTATATTGTCAGAGAGGTAAATTCATTAAAAATGTTAAAATTTTGTATGGAGAGTTATCTATGATACGAAATTAGAGCTCCTATGACATAGTACATATAATGATCAAAGGATAATGTTTAAAATAAAAAAAGTAAGATGCAATTATTTCAGCTATCAACTAGGTTTCATAGTAATTTTGTCATGACAGTTGGAAGGAAATTGTGTATTTGAAGGAAAGTTCACTTTTTCTATCCTTTCGTAACCTTTCCTAAAAATAAGCTGGTCCATTTTACTTATTGCCAGTGAGTTAAGTTCTTGTAAAGGGACATTCACTTTATGAGTTCCATAATAGTATTCAGGGACTATTCATGTGTAATTCATATTTCTAGATTCAATAATGTTAATGTAGCATATGATTAGATAGATACTATTCCACTTCCTTTTAGAATAGC